AAACGGGCTTTTGCGAACAACTTTTTCAAACTTCTGCCACAACGGTTGCGCACCTGCCAGGGCCATCATCCCTGTCAAATAATACCATGCGGGACACATTCGTTTTTTCTTCGCGCGCGCACGCCGTCGTCGTCGGCCGCGGGGCCCTGAATAGTAGCCACGGTCGTCCGCATGCCACGAAGTGAAGTGTCCGAACGTCATAGGGCGGGAAGCTGGGTGTGGGTGGTGGCGAAGAGTCGTTTGGAAATTTGGTAGAGCTTGAACCGGCCCCCCCACAAAGTGGGGGTATTGCCCGCCTCCTATGAAAACCCTGGCACTGGTGAGAACGGAGTGTCCCCACGTGCTAGTAATTGTTGTTGTTGTTGTTGTTGTTGTTGTCGTTGTTGTTGTTGCTGTTGTTGTTGTTGTTGTCGTTGTCGTTGTTGTTGTTGTGGTTGTTGTTGTCATGGTTGTTGCTGCTGCTTATGTTGCTGTTGCCGCTGTTGTTATTCTTAGTTGTGTTGCTGTTCTTGCTATTGTTGTTGCTGTTTGTTACTGTTGTTGTTGCTGCTGTTGTTGTGGCTGTTGTTGCTGCTGTTTGTTGTTGTGGTTATCGTTGCTGTTGTTGCTGTTGCTATTGTTGTTGTGGTTGTTGTTGCTGTTATTGATGCTGTTGTTGCTGCTGCTGTTGTTGTTACCAGCAACAGCAGTATTATTAACATCCGCCGCTCTGCGGTTGATCGGGAGTTTCTGTATATATAGAAAAAGGGGCGCGCGCTTCTGGGCGAGAGGGAAACGACCGAGAGAAGAAGGGGCGGCCGCCCCACAGGACCTCTCCATGGTGCCGGAAGCCCATCAGGGCTCCCTCAGGGCCCCTCCCCCAGGGCCGGGGCTCCCTCGCCTGCCCCCTCCCCCTCCTCCTCCTCCTCCTCCTCCTCCTCCTCCTCCTCCTCCTCCTCCTCCTCCTTCGCCCCCGTCGGCATATCCGGGCGTGTTATGCAGTCAGGTCGTCAGTCCGGAAACGGTGCCGGAGGCCGCTCTGGGCTCCTCTGGGCATCCCCCCCGGGGCCCGTTTTGTGAGGATGTCTCAGGCGAGGGCGCCGGTTTGGGATTCGTCACCGGATCCAGCGGATCCAGCGGATCCGTCCGGAAACGGTGCCGGAGGCCGCTCTGGGCTCCTCTGGGCATCCCCCCCGGGGCCCGTTTTGTGAGGATGTCTCAGGCGAGGGCGCCGGTTTGGGATTCGTCACCGGATCCAGCGGATCCAGCGGATCCAGCGGATCCGTCCGGAAACGGTGCCGGAGGCCGCTCTGGGCTCCTCTGGGCATCCCCCCCGGGGCCCGTTTTGTGAGGATGTCTCAGGCGAGGGCGCCGGTTTGGGATTCGTCACCGGATCCAGCGGATCCAGCGGATCCGTCCGGAAACGGTGCCGGAGGCCGCTCTGGGCTCCTCTGGGCATCCCCCCCGGGGCCCGTTTTGTGAGGATGTCTCAGGCGAGGGCGCCGGTTTGGGATTCGTCACCGGATCCAGCGGATCCAGCGGATCCGTCCGGAAACGGTGCCGGAGGCCGCTCTGGGCTCCTCTGGGCACCTCCCCCGGGGCCCGTTTTGTGAGGATGTCTCAGCGAGGGCGCCGGTTTGGGATTCGTCACCGGATCCAGCGGATCCAGCGGATCCGTCCGGAAACGGTGCCGGAGGCCGCTCTGGGCTCCTCTGGGCATCCCCCCCGGGGCCCGTTTTGTGAGGATGTCTCAGCGAGGGCGCCGGTTTGGGATTCGTCACCGGATCCAGCGGATCCAGCGGATCCGTCCGGAAACGGTGCCGGAGGCCGCTCTGGGCTCCTCTGGGCATCCCCCCCGGGGCCCGTTTTGTGAGGATGTCTCAACGAGGGCGCCGGTTTGGGATTCGTCACGGATCCAGCGGATCCCGCGGATCCGTCCGGAAACGGTGCCGGAGGCCGCTCTGGGCTCCTCTGGGCATCCCCCCCGGGCCCGTTTTGTGAGGATGTCTCAGGCGAGGGCGCCGGTTTGGGATTCGTCACCGGATCCAGCGGATCCAGCGGATCCGTCCGGAAACGGTGCCGGAGGCCGCTCTGGGCTCCTCTGGGCATCCCCCCCGGGGCCCGTTTTGTGAGGATGTCTCAGGCGAGGGCGCCGGTTTGGGATTCGTCACCGGATCCAGATCCAGCGGATCCAGCGGATCCGTCCGGAAACGGTGCCGGAGGCCGCTCTGGGCTCCTCTGGGCATCCCCCCGGGGCCCGTTTTGTGAGGATGTCTCAGGCGAGGGCGCCGGTTTGGGATTCGTCACCGGATCCAGCGGATCCAGCGGATCCGTCCGGAAACGGTGCCGGAGGCCGCTCTGGGCTCCTCTGGGCATCCCCCCCGGGGCCCGTTTTGTGAGGATGTCTCAGGCGAGGGCGCCAGGGGATTCGTCACGGATTTGGGATTCCGTCCGGACCGGATCCAGCTCAGGCGAGGGCGCCGGTTTGGGATTCGTCACCGGATCCAGCGGATCCAGCGGA